CAAGTATAAATGTCCCCACAGAGTCGTTATACAGTATTTGTTAATGCTAGCTCACTAAGGTTTAACAGTGTTTAACTTTAACTAGCGAGCAAGTTAAGTGATGCTATTCGGGGCTAGCTGATAAGCTAACCACTTGTTGCGCTTACTTCTCAGGAGCGGCGACGTTTCCTTCTTCACATACTTCCCGTGTACCTCGGCTGGTTTGGACGCTTCGTTCTTACTTTTCTTTCGTGAGAGCATAACTCCAGGCTCGGAAAACATCAACAGCACGGTGGGGTAAAGTCATGACACAATCCTTCGACTTTGCAACCATACCGGCCAGTTAGCAAAGCGCGGAAAGTCAACATTTTTCCCCGCAGCTTTGGATTAGCTAGCCGCAGTTAGCCAGCTAACTGAAGCCACAGGGAGCATCTGTGCTGCTGCAGCGGGTACAGTCCCACTACTGGGAAGTCCTTCCATCTGAAGGAGGAGGAGAGAGGAGCACAAACCACTGTGGGGCCCTTCGGTGACATAAGCACAGTATAAACTGTACTATAGTTAGAAAATATCCGTTAAATTTTTCCCATAATTTAATCACTCACATGGCAAAGCTGAAACTAATAAAAACTAGGCTAAAACGGCACAGAAGGAAGCAAACCCCCCTCTAGAAACTAAACAATGTAAAACAAATATTCAAAACAAAATAAAAGTCATATTAAAATGTATACTAGGGACATTTAACCAAATACTAGTGGGGTATATGTGTATATTTGAGCCTGTGTGGATTGGAGAAAATCCAAAATAAATTCAAACTCTTGCACCCAACTCTTGTTTTTTTAATCATTAAAGATGTCTGCTCTTCAATAAGTTCATCCTAGAAAAACATCCGCTTCAAGATATCAATAACAGCCCAAAATCACCACGACTTTCATGCTCATGATGAGTGTATGTAAACTTCTAATCACAACTGTATGTCCAGTTTAGTATCCATTGTATTAATTTACAACATGCTTATTTACAGTACAGTATAAATCTCTTTCTGTTACTTATACACGTTTTCATATATATTGTTTAATGCATGTCTTTTTTGTGCAAACTGTGATCTTTTAGACTAAAGTGACTAAATTTCTGGCCACACCTGTATGCATAGCTGGACTGGCCATCGGGCATACCGGGCATTTGCCCTGTGGGCCGATGGTGATTTTTTGTTTTTATGGGCCGATGATTTTTTTAAGTTATTTTTTTTTTTATAACAGTATAAACAATGACAGATGGTGGATTGGCCAGATGCTGGCAGATGTGTAAACATAACTCAGTTGTTTGGCGGTGGCTGTGGCAGAGCTGCCACAAGAGGCCAACAGGTGGATGAGGGAAAGGGGAAGCAGGAGGAGGAGAGACCCGAGGTGGCCGCCTGTCGGAGTGTCAGGTGAACTGAACTTCAGGTAAGAAGTTATGACCTGCAGTCTATCTAGGTCAGATATAAACCAAGTTTAGGTGGAGTTTATTTTCGTTGTGCTGAGTTTTTACCGTCAGTTACAATAACTTGTACTGCGTACTAGCTTGACGGAGTTTCTATACAGCTGGGTGGGTGCTATACTGATAGTGAACTTTATTTTATTCATAAGGTTAGTTAGTAGAGTTGCCAGCCGCGCCGTAAAAAACCGAATCGTCCCGTATTCAGAGAAAATAATACACGTTTCGTATTTAGGTGAAAAGGAACACAGTTTGTCCCGGACTTCAGATGAAAAAGACACAAAGCTGGATTTATTCTATGTCTTTACGCTGCAGCTGCCTCTTCTCTCATTCAATCATGAAACTGATCAATGATCAGCTGATCGGCTTTTCTCTGTTTGTCGCCCACTTCGCGCCAGAAAGAGGAAACCAGCGGATGTCGCGCTAAACAACAGCAGCACGTTTAAGCTTGATCAGCTATTGTTAGAATTTATCTAGTATCAATTTCTAGCATCAGTTGCAGCGTGTCTTAAAAAAAACATTATCCTTTCATACACCAAAGTAGGTACTGAATAAATGACACGAAATGGTTTTCTTTCATTGTTTACATTTGTTTTGTATTGGAGCTACAGTTAAAAAAAAAAATCCCAAAAAAACAAACCAACAATTGTATTTACAGTATAACGTGTGGGATGCCAGTGTTTTTTTCTGTAGCTTTAATCATTTACTCAGACAAACCTAAAGAACGTACATCATAAAGAAATTTGACAGCAAAGACTGAGACGCACTGAGGGAAAGAGGAATAATTAAGAGGCATCTTCTAGCATGTTATTAGGCCACAGCTTTAGCTGGATGTAGGACTACAATGTAAAATAAGTTTGACAGTCCTGGCATGGAGGGGTGGCATGAATTTTAAATATGTTGATTCTGCTTGAATCACATTGTTATCATGTGTATGTGCAATCAGATAACTGTGGAAAAAGCAGTAACTTACAAACCACCAAAAACAATCCTTTTATTTTATTTATACCTGTAGCACAGCCATTACCCTGTCTCAACCATAATGACATAGCATATACACCTTCACATATCGCAACAGATCATACAATTTCCTTTAAAAGTAAAATGACATGTTAAGTATTGCCACTTGACAGACATTTAAAGTCTTTTCAACTTCAGGTAGTGTTAGGTAAAGCATGATTCAACATCTCAGTTTGCGTGATTTTACTAGCGAACAACAGGTTTCTATTTATTCTTTTACAATAGGGCTGGAGAAAGAAGAGATGCACACAACTTTTGGACACAATTGTATAAAAAGTACACTTCATTGTTTTTCCTCTCTTTGGACAGAGAAAAAGTTTAAAGGTAAGATATTTATTAATAATAGGTAATAGCGTTTTAAAAATATAAATAACTGCATAAAGATATGTCTTCTTTGCAGTTTGACCTCTAGTTATTTATAGGTCCCATTAATTACTGGTTAGAATTAAATGGACAAAAATACTGCATATTTAACATAAAACCACCAGTTCTCATGAATTGGCAGAATCTGCTGCATAAAGTTTGCAGCAGTGATAAATATAATAAAATAAAAGTATTTAGTAAAGATAGAGTGCAAATATAGACTTGGACACACATTTTAAGTTAGTCCTTTGTGATCATTTATAATGGTACGGCAGCGGAAGATGTGACGGGTTTAGGTCACACACTATCTTATTGAGGCTAGAGATCTTCTCCTCCAGCAGGTAGTTCTTCTTCTCCGCGATTTTCTGACGTTGCTCAGTTATCTCCAGAGCCTTCAGCAGCTGGGCATTCTCCACATACAGATCTTTGATTAGTACGTCTGCTTTGCCGTTCTTGTGCAGCTAGAAAAGTCAAAGTAGATAATTGATTGTAATGGGTTACACTGAATGGCAAGGTTTTGAATAATTTCAAATTGTTCATTAAAACAAGGAGTTTAGTTATGGAGTTTCACAAGGTTTTGTACCATATGTCTGTGAAGGTTCTCAGTCATCCAGGTCATCGTAGTCAAAGGAGCTTGCAAAGAAAAGTGTCTGGACTTCTTTAAGTTACTTGAAGACGTTTCACCTCTCATCCGAGAAGCTTCTTCAGTTCTAAGGTCAAATGGTGGAGAGTCCCAGATATAAACCTAGTGGGAGTAACCCCCCACAGAGGGACAAAAGGACCCCCTGATGATCCTCTAATCGCCTGAGCCAAGGTGTGAAACTGGGTGTGGGTCCCAATCAGCCAGAGTTTCGGGTGAGCTCATTGTGAAACCTTGATAACGTGGGGCCAGGTTTCACAATGATTAGAGGATCATCAGGGGATCCTTTTGTCCCTCTGTGGGGGATACTCCCACTAGGTTTAAATCTGGGACTCCCCACCAATTGACCTTAGAACTGAAGAAGCTTCTTGGATGAGAGGTGAAACATCTTCAAGTAACTTAAAGAAGTCCAGACACTTTTCTTTGCAAGCTCTTTTGACTACCAGGACCCATACTATTTCCCTTAGGTAGTATTATTACAGGATACATTTCAATTGCTATGAAGACTAAATGGAGTTGGAATTATCTAAGAAGACAGAAAACACAATATGGGTGTAGTTTAAATTAATGACATAACCTTTCTAATTCTAAATTCTAAGTTTCTTTCTCTCTCTTTTTAAAAAATTAATCTCTGTGGAATTGCAAAGCATCTCAGAGTGATGTGGAAAAACGAATTCATACATTCTTGGCTGGACTCCTGCAATCACTCATTATCAAGCTGCAGTAAATGTTCCTCTTCACATATAAAGTAACAATGAGACCCCATCAGGCCTCTTCTTCTATGGAAAGAGCTCCAAATTGATGGAGGCAGATTCCCTTCTCTACATTTAAAATGAGATTTAAACCTTTAAGTTTTGATAAAGCATATAGTTTGGGCTGTATCAGATGACATTGAACCATCCCATGTTGATAGAGGCTTAGACTGCTGGAGAACCTCCCATTATGCACTGACCATGTTTCAGTAATGAATATTATTAACTTTTGTCCGTCTTCTCCCACAGGTTGTGTTGCATTGTCATTATTACCATGTGCCCCCCCTCTTTTTCATTTCACACTAGAAGTAATCGTGGCAGACGTTTGCCCCTGTAGTTTGACTCTACTGGAGGTTTTTTCTGTTAAAAGTGAATCATATTTCTCCATTGTCATGATTGCTAGCATTTCTGATATTGCAGGATATTACCTTACAATATAAAGCACAGTGCAAGAGAGCTACAGTTGTGGGCCGGTGCTATATACACACAAAGTAAAAATAAAACCAAACTAAATTAATAAGACTCCTGAAAGGTTGTGTTTAACAACCCAAATTAGCCAATGTATAATAGATTTTCTTCAAAACGGTAGTCCAGCTTTGAACAGCAGCTTAAAAACAAATTAGTGGAAGCCAATGAACTGAAACTGAACTGACCTGGTCTTTGAGTTGAGCAACCTTCTCTTTGAGCAGCAGCTTGACATTATGCAGAGACAACTCAATTTCCTTCATTCGTTCCTCCATGCGCTTCATCTTCGACTCCCTTTCATCCTGGGGAGAAGACAGTCAAGGACATCGTCAAACTGCTGCTGATGCAAGACTACCATGTAAAATGAGATTTTTAGCTTCTGAAAAAAATGGAAATGTGAGCATGAGATGAGTCAGACACCATACAGACAGCATTTCTTGTGAGCTAGTTGCTTTATTCTTTATTATTGGATTTCTGTTACATTTCTTAAGAGAGGATGATTCACTAGAAAAATAAATACAAGTATAAAATTATGACTTATATTCCAGATATAGCTAGAAAAAATATTAATTAATGCATAAATAAAACAAACTCTAATAAACATGAAAAAAATAAATAAAATAAAACAAATGTGCATGTGTAGGAAGAAGAACAAAAATGCACTAAATGATTAAAAAACAAAACAAAAACGCAGACATAATGACACACTGTACTAAAGACACACTACCAACCTCACAAAGATTTAATAAATACCAGCCAAACACTGAAATTAATTACCAAACATGTTTGATCAGTCCTTGCTTAAAAAACAAAAAAGCAAAACCAAAACATCAACAACAACAACACCAAAACAAAAAGATGTGATTCACTTTGGGTGCTCAGCAGCAACAAGACGCCCAGAACACAAATGTACAGTAGAGGACTAAAAACTTGGTACCTTCACTGAAAAATCTCCATGAACCCTGACTGCACATCAGGTAGCATCACCTGGCAATAACACGTGTGAATGGTTTGATTGTTAGAAAAAGACTCAAAAGGCTGTCAGGCACTAACCTTGGCCCTTGATGACAAGATTTTTCCTCCGAGGATACATACATACCCTGTCATAAACCCTTTCAAGTTTTAAAAAGACAAGTGCATAACAGTCATTCCCAGAAAGTAAACCCTGCATTGAAAAGACTGATCAGGATGTATAATGAATCCACCAAAGGTCTGGTCCTACATCTTTCCAGTCTATATAAGCTCAATAAATTTTTATTTATTTATTCTTTTTAGAAAACAGTCTATCAACTGCCAATGCAAGTATTAGTGTGATCAAAATCCCATTGGGAAAACAAGCCAGGTGCCTTTTCTGTGTTTTCCTGCCACCTAGCAGCAATGAAATACAACTACAACTTCATGCCATTTATCTCAGGCACCACGAATGTGGGGCTTCATGTGCCACATTCAGATTTTTACTCCGGAAACAGAGGGAGAGCAGAATGTAAGCAGTCTCTAAAGCGAAGAGCAGGAAATGACGCTGGCGTTACAATCCACCGATCCGCCGGCAGCTGTCTGCGTGTGCCGCCCGCTGCTCCGGCATCGCCCCCTGGAGAGAAAAGGCAGGTACACTTCACCAGGGCTCTACCCTCTAATCCTAAAGATGGGCTTTTTATGCCTGAGATGTGTGTAGACTATCGAATAAATTAAGATAGACGAACTAGGAATCCTAATATGAATGCAGATTTATTAATCTGCAGGATGTCAGCATTCCTCCTGTTCATACTGGCCAAGAAAACATCTCTTTAGTTTTGCGTTTTCAAATTTATAGTTCACTGTTTAAGCACTGCGAATTTGGAAAGTGGTATAAGCCAGCATGAACAGCAGGACTAATCATACATACAGGGATCTCAAACTTCAATCAGTAACTGATCCTCACTGATGACGTGCTGAACAAAGATGTGGGCAAACTAGGACTAAGTCAGCAATTACTAAAAAAAGAAAAACTTAATCTGCAAGTAAACTAGAAATGGAGTTTTCTGCAGATATTGTGCATAATGTTTTTGTTTCAAACAAAGTCCACGTGTTAATGGCAACCTGATTATGACAGATGAAGGTGGAAGATGCCACTTACACATATGATAACTATAAAAGGACAACTTGTATTTGTTGGGAAATGAAGACTTACGCAGAGTGTGGGAGGAAACATGAAAAAAGGAAAAAATAATAAAAAATAAATAAATAAATCAGCCCCCTCACCCAGATGATCACACCATGGCAACTACTTCAGCCTATTTCAACCAGCATTCAAGGTTGAAAATAAAAGACAATGAATTCAGAAACAAACAAAACAAAACAAAACACATAGGTGCCACAAGCTAAAACACCAGACCCCTAAAGGTAAACTCTACAGATATGAGAAAAGGAGATGAAGACAGATGGGTGCCAAAATGAATCTACGACAGGTATTTAAAAAATAAAAAAATAAATAAATAAATAAAAAAAAATCTCAAAAACACAGCAAACACAGCTTTAATAAATAAAAGAAAAAGAAAGGAGCGGAAAACTCAGACGAGGAATGGAGGACACTCAGCTCAGGTACACTTTTTTTTTTGCTATGATGTTGAAAATGTTAATGATGTCTAGTTTTTCATTGACATTTACAGCCACAAGTACAATATGAAAATGCTGTACATTATTTAATATCTGAGCAAGTAACAGCAGTTAGGGAAATAAGGAGGAGGTAAACACAGGTGCTTCTAATCACATTAATGGAGGCCCTGCGAATACACAGAACAGAACCTACATTAATTAGAAAAACCTGCGTTTAACTACGATTTCATGGCAAACTGAAGCTGCTGTGACAAAGGTCTATGTATCAGCTCCCATTAGAAAGTGAACCAGCATGAGAAGTGGTGCACAGGCTTCAAAGATTAATTTAATATTAACAACAAAAGAAAGGGAAAAAAGTGCAATGTGATCGAACAAACTAAGTGTGAGAAAAGAACGTCAATCTATAAATGTACCAATGCAATACTTATTTAATATATCCAAGCTTACTTAAGCAGTAAACTATATTTGGTCGGGTTTGCCATTGTGGAAGTTCTGAATTGCACTGTACCTGCATGTTGTCTGGATCTTCACCACGGTGCTGTCCTCTGGGCATCCTGTGAGGTGATGGAGGCAGGAGTCCTATGAATTGTGCCTGCAAAGTCTGGAAATAGGAAAAAAATATTGTTTAAATTATTTTGCTTTCTTGTTAAACTGTTATATCCAAAGAAAGCTTTAAAAAAAAAAAAAAAAAAAAAAAAAGCTGGAGTACCTCGAGCAGCTGTGTTGTTAGTCGAGCCAGCTGAGCCTTGAGCGCCTCGTTTTCTTGCTGAAGGCTCTCCAGCTCAGTGCGTCTTTGTCCACCTTCACAGCCCTGAATGAAAAGCACATGTAGTGAGAATTTGAGGATTTTACATAATCGGAAAATTCTTTGGTTATAGTCAGCAGCATGCATGCACACCATGGTAAGCTCCCTTTGTGCTTCAAGCTCCTTTTTAAGAGAGAAGTTTTCCTGTTCCAAGGCCTTCATCAGAGAGGATGGACTCTGATGTTTGTGCTGCTTCAGGGAGAGTATGGTAGCATCAAGCTGACGGACCTGCAAACACAGAAAAGAAAACTCACATAACAGAGAAAAAAAAAGAAAAGAAAAAAAAAAGGAAGAAGCAGCTTTTAAAAGCCTGCCATTTTTCTGTGGTGCTCAGCTCACTTTTTCTCTGGACTGGGTGAGGTCTCCTTTGATGCTGCACACTTCTGCTTGAAGTCTCTCGTTTTCTTGCCTCAGTAGCTGCTGCTCCTGCTCCATCAGCCGAGACATCTCATCTCTGTACAGCTTCTTGCTGTGATTCTGCAGACCGCTTGAGTGCAGGGCCATCTCCAAAATACGGTTCTGAGATTAACAAGGGCAAAAGGTCAGTCTGTTCTGCCCTCAGCTTGTCTTTTACCTTACTATAGAGAAACAAAAACCTCACTTTATCTACAGCATTCTGCAGCTCTTTGTGTAGCAATGCAACTTCATGTTTTAGAGAATCCCTCTCTTGTTGCGAGACACGAAGGTCCGACTTCAGACGAGTACTTTGATGGTTGACAGTCTGAAGAGTTTCTTCCATAGTCTTGACCTCGAGTGGAAAGAAGCATATTAGTGCTAATTAATGCACCAAGTTAGAGTCCTTTGTGTGCTTTGCTAGAAATCTCTATAAATTCTACTAAAATGCTGTGAAATAAGCCCACTATACCCCAACTATTGAAAAATTACCAAACGATTTGTCATCTATCTGGTGACCGAGCGAGATCCTTTAGGCTACAGCAGCCTTACCTTCTCTTGAGCTCTGGCTAGCTGGTTGCGCAGCCCTACAGTCTCCTTATCCACACTCCTCCGCTCCTCTACGAGGTGGCTGAGGTGACTCTCCATTGTGCCCGCCGCGATTGCCTGACAACCAAAAGACACCTACAGGTGTAAGGAAGCAATCTTTTGCATAACTTTAATGGTAAGGGCAGATAACACCCAAAGATCTCAGCAGATCACAGCTGGCTTAAGGCTAGAAATGACTTAGTTTGTATTTTTTCCTGCATCTTAATCATTGCAGGTACTCAGAGATGGGGATGAGCTTAGGTCATTTAATTCTAAGAAGGGGTGGTGTTAGGAAGTTCTTAATATTGTGTCTGTGTTATATTATGGTGGAGTTGGATGTGAAGTGTTTTGGTGCCCATAATCTAATGCTCACCTTCTCTCTGAGGTTAGAGAGCTTCTGTGACAGCTGGATATTCCTCTCCTCCAGCTGTGCAGTGTCCTCCAGCGCTTTGGTCAACTCTGCCTCCAGAGCAGACACACAAGCTGCCAGCTAACACAAAACAGCCACCAATTAACTACCCGCTACCACCGCCACCACACCATGGCGACTATCAGCTGGTCATTAAACGCCGTTTACCTTGTTTTTCTCTTCAGCAGAAGCAGCTTCCCTCCTCTCATTTTCCTTTATCAATTCTGCCAGCTGCTGTCGTAGACTCTCCGTACCGGCAGTATTTTGGGCATTTTTCTCTGACAGCATCCCATTCGCATCCTCCAGCTGCTGACTCTGCAAACGCAGCTCTGCAATCTGTGGAGATTCATGTTTTTAAGTAAATATCTTGGTCCAAATAAATTGAATCCAGTGTTTAAGGACAAATTGGTTTCTTTTGTATATTTAAAACTTTTTTATATTTATTTTTGCACGACATTACCTGTTTTTGGAAATTCTGTGATGCTTTTTGAGCTGCTAGCTTCTCTTTCTTCAGGTGCTCCCATGTTTGTCTGTAATTAAGCGTGAGAAGAAAATGTGATTATGCATAAAACAAACTAACAAAAAAAACCCTACTGTGGTGGTTAGCCGCAAACTATATTTGGTGCTTCTTACGTCAACTCTTGCTGGACTTCCTTTAAGTCCTCTTCTTTCAATGCAGAGATCTTTTGCCTGAGGATGACGTTTTCTTCAGCAAGACGACTGGCTTCAGATCTGGAGACAAAGAGTCAAAAAAACAAATTCAGTGAAACTGCAGGAATCCATCACACACGATGCATGTTGAGTACATATGAGAATCACCAAACGGACTGCAGCACACCGATTATAAACAACTCTACAGTTTACACACACACACACTAAACAACTTCTTGCTTCTCCGCTGATGACCTACGGGGACAAAAACTGTCAGGCTCTGCTACAGAGGGTTTAGAAGCTCAGTCGCAGCTAGAACTTCACAGCACTAAAGGATGGTGGTAACACCGGCCACAGAAGACAAAGGGATCCTAGTTTTCTCCATGTTACCTATGAGCCTGCGTCACTTTGTTTAATGTCTGTGACTTGTGTTGTAGCTCTGTGATGGTTCGGTGAAGTTGCGTGTTCTGCTTCTCCAACGCCTTACAGCAGTCTTCAAGATCAGTCACTGCATCAACATTCGCCTCCAGTTCCCTATCTAAATCCAGAAAAGCCTCCACTGAGGGGCTCTCCAGTCGTTCAGCATCTAGGCCAAAGGCTGAAAGAATCCCATCCTGCCTTTCTAATTCGCTGAACAGCTCAGACAGTTTAGTGTTTTCTTCTCTCATCCTGTTGATCTCATCCACAAGTGAAATTTGCTGCTCTTTGAAACTGTGGAAAATATTGATCCTGCTCTCAAGGCTCCACACCCTTCTCTCAAGTTCACCATTTTGCTCCTTCAGTTTGGCATTTTCACACATGCAATCTTCATACCTAATCTGAAGATTTGTCATTTTCAAGGCCTTTATCTCCAGCTCTTTGACATGCTCCATTAACAGCAACATTCTAACTTTGAGGCTGTAGTTTTCCTCTAACACCTGGTGCCCAGCCTTGATCTTTTCATTGTTACGAGCCAGCAGGTTCTCTAGTATTTCAGTCTTCTGCTGAAGCAAAGAAATCTTCTCATGCAGGAGAATGTTCTCCTCTGTGGTCGTATTATAGAAAGCCTGTAGTTTCAGCAAAGGCTGCCGCTCACAATCAGAGTCTTGATCCACACATTCATGTCCACATTTAACGTTTCCCCCCTTTAGTTCTGCGAGTAAATGTTCACAGTCTAAAACCAGGGAGTTATTCAGTAAACAGTTAACCTCAGCATCCTCCAGACACGGTTCACCAGGGTAACCTGTCTCCTCCAGCGTTGAGGACACAACCACAGTCTCATGATGCTGCTCATCTTCCTGGGAATAGCTTTCAAACCCCACTGCTGCTACATCTTGAGGATTGTTCTCTTTACATAATTCAAGAGTTGCTTTGTTCTCACCATCTTCAAAGGCCTCAAGTGATGAGACGGGCCCACATTTCATCTCTGGGAAAACTGCTTCATTTGGGTTTTCTGTGGATTCGGACTCGGGGTGATCAGAAGGTGCCAACTCACAGCCTGCGTGATAAAGTTCAGCTTGCTCGGGGAAATCAGTAACATAAATATCATCACCACATCCCTGAAACCCATCAGCATTTGCAGGACACAATTCATGAGTCTCTTTCATATCTTCTTGCACGATATTTTGTCGGAGTTCTTGGTTTTCACTAGCACCCATTAACTCTCCGTCTCCCCGAATGTCACTGGTAGCAGAGCCATCTTCATTGTTTGCATCAAAAACATCCACGTTTTCAGTGGCTTCCTCTCCTGCATACAGAGTCCCCGTTAGAGTCTCTTCATCGCTATCTTGTTCATCCAGAATTTCAGGTGTTTCTTCACCAAATAAAGAAACGCATTCTCTGTTGTGTAGCATCTCCTCCATTAATGTGTTCATCCCCTTCAATTCCTTCATCTCTTTGTCTTCCACTTTTTCCACAGAAGATGAAAGCTGTTGGACTTCCATCTCCAGCTCTTTAACTCTTACTTTAAAATCTTCTGCCTTAATCTCAACTGCATCTTTTAGCTTTTGCTCAAGAATCGACACACTTTCCTGTAGCTCACGCCTGTCAAGCTCAAAGTCCACTGCAGCCCGCTTAAGAAGCATCTCCAGCTCTTCGATCTTCATCTTTAAATCATCGCGCTCATTTAAAAGTTCAATCCTCTCTGCTGTCTGCCTTTCTGAAATACAAAGCATCTCATTGTACTTTGATTCAAGTTCTGAATTACTACTCAGAAGTTCTTCCCTCTCCTGTTTAAAATCATCGACTGTTTCATTCAACAGGAGCTCTGTCTGAACAAGAAGATCATGTTTGGTTTTCAGGCTTTCCTGAAGCCTGTTATGGAGATCATTCAGCTGCTTGCTGAGCTCTATTTCTTTGGTCTGAGCCTTGCTAATCAAGTCATCGAGCTCATGTTCCAGCTGCTTTTTCTCATTCATTAGTGCTTCCATTTGCTCTTCGTGAACACTTTCTAGCTCCCTTCTTTCTTTTGTCCACTCCTGATTTAATCTCTGTCTTTCCCCCTCCGCTGCCTCCTCCATCATTTTTCTTTGTTCCTCTGCTCTCTCGAGAGCCTTCTGCATCTCTGCTTCCCACTCGAGCTTCTGCTTGGCGTGGCTTTCAGAAAGAGCCTCCAGCTCTCTTTGGTAGTGCTGTTCAAGTTTCAAAACATCAGCCTGAAAACGCTGTGCAACAAATTCCTGATCACACGAGAAACGATCTTCCACTTCTTTGATTCTCAGGTTGAAACTGATCTCGATGTCCTTCCTGCACATGGTTATTCAAGAGTGGTTACAGAAGCAGTTTGGAAAGTATTACATTATAATTGCTGACAATCCTCAACACAGGAGGCTTTAAAAAAAAAAATAGCTTAGACACCTTATCTCTTAGCAGAATCATGTTCGATTGTTTGGTGTTACATTAGAGGATTAACACTACTTTCATGTGATCTTAACTTGAGATTAAGTCTGAAGAATAAATTTTGATAAATTTAATTAGGTAAAATGTTGTTTCTTACCTCTCCTGGGCGATGTCATCTCGTAGTTTGTCTAACATGGCGCTGAGTGTGTCCCTTTCCTCTATATGCTTGACACTCAGCTCCTTCACGGCTTCTCGATGGCTCTCCTCTAGACGCGCCTTCTCCTCTGCCATCAAACTTTCCAGTCTTTTCTCCACCTTCTCCCTCTCCGTCTCAAACTTCTCCCTCTCCTCATTTATCCTATCCTGGATCATCCCTTCATAATCCTCCTCCAGTTGGAGTCTCTCCCTCTCCCACTTCTCCTTCAGCTTTTTCTCCCTCTGCTCAAACTTCTCCTGTAGCTGCGACCTCTCGAGTATTTTTTCAAGCAGCGCCGCCTCGTGATGCTCCTGAAGCTGAGCTCGTTCCCTCTCCCACTGCTCCCTCAGACTGTTCTCCTTCTCTTCTTGCTCCTTGACGAGTCTCAGCATCTCTTCCTCCAGCAGCATCTGTAAAGACTCGCCGTTCTGCTGATCCAGCTGAGCCCTCTCTTTCTGCCACTCCTCTGTCAGCGTCTCCACCAATTCCTCACGCTCTTCCTCAAATTTCAATTTTACCTCCTCTAGTTTATCACTTAGTTTCTCCTCATGGCTTTCTAGTAACAATTTCTTCTTGCTTTCCCAATCATCTAATAATCTCTTCTCCAAATCAGCCTTTTCCTCCTGTAATTCCTTTCTCTCCTCTGCTAGTCTGGTTTCAAACAGCTCTGCATGCTCATCCTTTAGTTTCTTGAGCTCTGTGGCATGTTGAGTCCTCAGCTTCTCAATCTCAAGACTTTCATCGGTCTCTGTCTGTTGAACTCTTAGGGTCTTCAGCTGCTCTTCCAGGTCTGCAGTGCGAGTCTGGGCCTCCAGGAGCTGGTTTCTTAGTTTTACCAACTCCTCTTCTTGGAGGTTCTTAAGCTCTTCCCTTTCCTCTGTCTGTTTCTCCTCCAGTAAACTCCTCTCCAACTCTACCTCCTCCAGCTGGCTCTGCAGCTCCTGTGCATGGCTCTGAATGTTGACCATCTCATCTCTTAAAGCCTGAACCTCCTGCTGGTGGAGGTTCGCCAAGGAAGCTTTCTGGTCTTCATGGTTCAGCCTTTGTTTTTCCACCATGTTGTTAAATTCATTCATCTGTATGGATAAAAGAATTATTTATATAAACCTTGTAGTTAATTTCTGAATAATAGTCACATATTCCCTTTCCCCATATTTTAGATATAATAATCATTTTTATTTATTTATTAAAGCACTTGGGAGTGGAGATGCAGAGGACCCTGCAGAGGTCTCACCTCCTCGTTTCTTTCCAATTCTAAAACTTCTCATTTTCTTCAGCAGATTTACACATTAAAAACTGGTGGTGCTAGCAGACTAACCTTGATTTCCAGCTGGTTTCGCAATTCCTCGATTTCACGCAGGTGCTGCTCCTTCAGCTGCTCCAGCATCATCTCTGCTTCTAGGCTCATACTGAAAGGCTGAACCTCCTCTGAACCGAGACCTGTGAGAAGTCAAGTTAGAAGTGAGGGGTTGGTTGATATTTGACAAAGGTTAAAAAACAAAGCAGGACAACACAAATAATAAAACACCAATAAATAACCTCTAAATAACCAGTGCAAACAGAGTGAGTCAGTCAGTTATCACTGCATTAATTTATCAGTGCATTTAAGTGTTCAGGACCCAGTTAGTCTTTAGAAGTAGATAGTCTCTGAAGCTATAGCTGTGTACTTTGGGTGATCTGTATCGCCTGCCTGAGGGCAACAGTCCACACAAACTGTGACCGTGGTGAAAGCAGTCCCTGATGTTTTGTGCTCTTTTAAAGTAGCGTGCAATGTCCTCCAAGGATGGCAGCTGGCAACCAGTGTTTTTTTTAATTCTTTGCTGTTTGTACCACTCCTTGCAGCACCTTTTTGACTGCTACAGAGCAGCCAGCATCCCACACCTATGTGTGTTTAGTTGCTGCTCAATGTTGTTTTTCCTAAGTAGTCTCTGATGTGCCTTTTTCCCCTGTTCCAGTACTGTTGTCTGACCAGGAAAGGTTCAATGATAGGGGGAAACCCAATTCAAATGACACACGCTACACACTTCCTACTAATGCAGAATGAGACTGAGTCAAGCCTTTTCCTGTAGTCCATTATTAGCTCTTTGGTTTAAGTAATGTTCAAAACCAGGTTGTTTACTGACAGTTGCTGTAACTCACCTCTGCATGCTGACTCATCGTCACCTGATATCAGGCCAACAGCAATTGTGTCACCAGTGAATTTAATAATACTGTTGCACGATAGGTCATGTATGCAGTTGGTCCTCTTTAATGATTTTGAGCACTATTTTACTGCAATGTTACACTATAGGCTTACCTGGGTCAGACTCCATTCCAGGGCTTTTACTCTCCAGCTCCTCAGAGAGAGGTTTCTGACAAGACTGATGAGTTCTGCCGAGGCTGTGGAACTCCCGCAGCTCTGACTGCAGCTCATCGATACGATCTTGTAATTCCTACGGAATAAGAGTACTTAACGTTAACATCTGTCACGTCAGCACATTTTACACGCTCCTGTGTGGAAAAAACAGTCTCTCGTAGTTACCCTGCACTGAGCTTCATAGCCGCTGCGTAGCTGTTTAATGCGCTCCTCTTGGAGGAGGAAGTCTGCACTGTTAGGGTCCAGATCACCAAACTAAAATAAGAAAAGATCATATACTAATTATCATGCTAGCACAGACAGATATTTAAAAACCAAAACAAATAACAATAACAAAAAACAACAACAAACAAACATGAAACTCAAATTGCAAGCAAAAAAGGTGAAAGTCAATATTATGAAAATCCATTATATAGCATCTTAAAATGTGTCTGCACCTTATCTTTCATAATGTTGTCCAAACTTGTCTGGAGTTTAGTAATTTGGTTTTGAGCATCAACTAGTTTTTCATTGCAGTCCAGTAACTCCATCTCCAGACGTCTGTTCTCCTGAAAATGAACAACATCATGATTCTTATATTTTCAAATTATTTTTTGGGGATAAAGAACATAGTGTACATTAGAAACACTGACATATTCCATGCTTAACAAAATAAAAAAACAAATAAACTTGCACACCATGAATTATTCGGTTACCTTCACCGAGATGGAGAGGTGGTCTCGGATGAAAGATTCATCCTCCCTGATCTTCTCGATCTCTGCTTCCAGCTCGTCACGCTGCAGGAAAGCCTGTTGCTGAATCTGCTCCATCTCCCTCATCAGCTCTGATTTTACTGCCGCTAGCTTCTCTTTGTGGTCCTGCTCAAGCTTCCTGCAGATGATCATCCACAGGAGAAAAACTCAACACTTAATACACATTACTTAACAAATTTATTGAATCACCTGTCATAAAAAAAAGCAATAAAGTACAAATATTTTAGAAATCTGTCAAAAAAACAAAACAAACCTAAAACAAACCTAAAAAACTAAAAAAATTAATAAATATTGTAAGTCACTGAACTCTAACTGAATTCACATTTTTAAACTCAAATTTGAGCTGGCACACCAAACTTTGAGAGATCAGATATTAATCAAGCAGAACCATTAAAGAGGATTTTTCTGTTTAGGAAAGCAAGTAAATTTGGCATCTTAAACACAAAAATATTAAAGTGCGTTACCATTTTTGTAAAACACAATTTTAAAAGTCATGGATAAAAACAATAACAATACTTTACTTTTAAAAATGTCATTTCAATTAAAGAGCTTGCTTGGGAAATTAACCATTATAAATACAAAAAAATATTTTTTAATTATCAATACTGTTAATTTAGGGCAGCTGTGGCACATTGTGTTTTGGTCTAGTACACTGCAAGTAGATTTAATATTTGCTCTCAACTTTTCTTCACAAACACTTAGAGTAAACAAAATTTCTTAGTTAAAGTAAAGAAAGCTAAACAGGCTCAAACCTGAGGAATGAGGTTTTAATTTAATAAAAGTTAAACATGACAAATGTGTTTCCAAACCTTCCGTTTAGGCACTGGACTTTATAAAATTTAATAAAAAGCATCTCAAAAGACGTGTGGTGCGACTGGAATGATAAATTACCTGAGATTGAGGTTATTCATGTGCTCAATTGCAGAGTGATGCTCATCCACCTCATTGGCAAGCTGCGTTTTCTGCTTCTCTGCTTTTTCCAGATCAGATCGGATTTTCTCTTTCTCTCTGAGCTCTCTGTCTACACGCTCTCTGAGATCAGAAAAACCAACAGGAACAATAATTGTACACGAGTTGCACGGCACGATAAACAAAAACAACAATCCTGCTGTTTTTAAAAAAAGATTTGTTTTCAATTTCAACACTATCAGCTTTAAGTAGTTCACAATCCAGTTAATCATGGATCAACAGATTGTATTAAGATCTGTATGAGCTGTATTATGATGATGACTCATACTCACAGGAGATATCTGATCTCAGCTTTGAAGCTCGCCAGTGCCGCTTGGTGAATCCCATTCTTAGTAACGAGTAGCTCATTTTCAAGTGCCATGGTGAGATCACCAAGACTCAGTTTTCCATCTAGCTCAAAGTTCAAAGCCTGCAAAAAAGTTTTCCAATTAAAATTCCATTTTAAATACATTCCAATTATATTTTGAAGATGAATTCAAAGTCAACAATTTTGTGAAACACTGTTTGTTTCACCATAAATAAACTAAGAAGAGTAAGAAGTGTAACTTCAGTAATGTACCTGCAGGATATCAGTGCTGTTTTCTATTCCGTCTTCTATCCAGGCATCCAGGATGTACTCCACAGAAGTGTAACCGGTGCCATCATCAAGAGAGGAGAACAGACGCATGCCAATGGTGCTGGTTAAAGAAGAGGGCGTAGCTATCCTCCGTCCCCCCTCATCAAAAGGCTGTAGGTAGAAGAAAAACTTCTTTTTTTTTTTAATACATCATAGCAGAGAAAATACAAAATACTACAGAGATTGAGCCTTTTCTGAATTTCAAAAAGCATCAAACACAACCCTGAAATTAGCCCCAAGTCTCCTAACCTGGTGAAGCTCAAACCACAAATAGCATACCTGAGTGGAGTGATGCCGTTTAAGCTGCCTGTAGGGTGTTGAGGCTGATGGCGTGGGGGGTTTGTTGTGGTTTGCAACCCTGGATACAAACTCCTGAACAGTCATCATTCCATCGGCAGACAGGCTTAGGAGCGCATCTCCATTCACCTGATATATATATTTAAAAAGAAAAAAAATGAAAACGCAAGTGTTACATCCTGGGAGGCTGTGGGAGTGTGTGGGCGTGGTGTTGTCTTCTCTCTCTCCTCCTCCTTCGTTCTGGCCCCTCCCCTTGTCTCTCTCTCTGCCCCTGCCCTCTCCTTTAGGTCACACCTGCTGCTCATCTGCTCTCGTTACAACCAATTACCCTCAGGGGTGATATAAGCTGGAGAAGAGCAGTGTGGAAGAGGAAGGGAGAGGTTTCTGGTGGTTTTCCTCTGTGCTGGTCAGAGTGTGCTACTGGCTTAGGTGTGGAACAGCCTGCTGCGTGTGACCAGCCTTCTCGTGTGTGAGTAGTGCTTAACTGAGCAGTGATTGCCCATGAGTGACGGCGGCCTTCATTAGTTTGTGTGGCCTGCCTGAATATTGTTTGTTAGCAGCGTTGCTGTCTCTTTCTGTTGAAGCCTTATTGTTGCTTTCTTTGTTGAAGTGGTCATTACCACTTTGGGTTGACCTCCCTGATTTCTCATTAAAGCAGCGGTGCTGTCTCCTTTTGTTGTTGCCATTTATATGATTATTGAGGTGTTTGCCTACAATAAAGATCTATTTTATGTTAAATACCTCTGCCTGGCGTTCTTTTCATTCCACCTGGATCTAACTGTTACTGTCCCCCACCCTCATCGCCTAGACTTTTAAGTGGGGATGTAACAGCAAGATTTTTTTATTAATACCTTTATACTGCATTTTACTTGAGTAAAACCAAATAAAATGCAACCATCTTTATGTTATCAGAGAATGGTCGGAAAAAAGAAGACGTATCCAGTGTAGAAATACGCTGGGTAGAAAAGAACTTGTTGATGGCAGAGCTCAGAGGAGAATGGCCAGACCGCTTTAAACTCATAAGGCAACATTACCTCAGTCATTACAACCAGGGTATGCAGAAGAGCATCTCTGAATAAAACACGTCAAACCTTGAAGGACATGACCACACCTGGTGCCCCTACTGTTAGCTAAGGTCAGGAAACTGAAGCTACTTTCAGATGGGCTCACAAAAATTAGACAGTAGAAGACTGGAAAAACATGGTTGGATGGTAGAATCAAAATTTGGCACAAGCAGCTGTAGAGCATGGATCCGTCCTGCCTTGTATGAACCTTTCAGGCTGGTGGTTGTGTAATGGGGGAGATTATCTTTGCACACACCAAGCCTCTTAGTACCAACTAATCATTATTTAAACACCACAGAGTATTGTTGCTGACCATGTCCATAACTTTTTGACCAGAGTTTACCATCTTCTGATGGCTGCTTCCAGCGGGATAACGAGCAATGTTACAAAGCTCAAATCCTCTCACACTGGTTTATTGAAAATTAGTTCACTGTACTCAAGTGGTCTCCAAACTCATTCAGTCTCAATCATATAGAGCATCTTTGTGCAGCTGACAAAGTTTAAGCAACTGTGTGATGCTATCATGCCAACCTGAACCAAAATCTCTGAAGAATGCAGCACTTTGTTGAATCTTTGCCACGACATATATAAAGACCAAAGCGAATTCAAATCGGTGTAAGCAGTTAGTTTATATGTAGAAGTGCAGTAATTGGTTAATGAAAAGACAGAAAATTTGCTAACAACTTTAGATGATAAAGTAATAATCTCTAATAAATCATGAAATTTGTGTCTGTTGATCCTCTTCCTTTAAGATTTACTGCTGGGAACATGATTAAGTATTGTGCCAGAGGTTGCTTAGATGAGGGACTATCTAAATTCTGGGGATCTTTTCCGTGTTGCAAGGCCATCAAATCAGCAGACAATATCATGCCTTTTACTAGGAAAAAAAAAACAACATTATTATCAAAGGCTCTTAAGTTATTTAGAAGTTTTGAAGGACCTTTTCATATCAGTAAAAATAAAAAAAAGTAAAAGTCTGTGGAAGATAAAAAAAAAAAAGGTTTTTGTTTTGTTAACCATTATAAGTGCCCTCAGAAAAGGAGGGGAAAAAAACAACAACAAAGAATAAAGAAAAAAGACCAAGGCAGATATGGTTATTTTAAATCATGGGTAATTTCAAATCTTTGCATTTTTCCCTTTAACATACCTCCAGACCCAAATGCTCACAGAGAGCAAGCAGTTCACCGTGACCAGCACATCCGTCCCATTGTATTTCCATCTCCTCGCAGGCTTCACGCAGCCTCTCCTCTAAATGAGCTGATAGGGGAACAATGGATCCCCGAGGCGTGTTCGGCTCATCCGGGTTCCAGAGATGCATCTGACCTGCACACAAGACAAAAGTTAGATCATGCATCAAAAAACCCAAAAACAACAAAACCAGACAAAGCTATGTCCTGTATGAAGTAAAATGTCTAAAATTAATTTGAATATAACGTACCTTCTGCCTCATATTCCTCTGTGCTTGATTCGTGAGCATTCCAGCGCTGAAACAAAAACATATAAAAGATAAAATAAGCTATAATCAGTTCCGTTTGGAATCAGTTAACCATTAAAATATCTACTGAAAACAATTGTCCCAACCCCCCTCTGATTTTCTCATGAGACAATCAGCTGAGAGTGTGTGTGTGTGTGTGTGTGTGTGTGTGTGTGTGTGTGTTTAAGCGTGGTTTTAAATCAGACAAGTTTGAGTCTGAATGCAGGTGGGGGGGGGGGGGGCTGCAAAAAACACACATACACAGGACCTTTTGTAATAGCACGGGCCCTGACGGGGGATGTCTGAAGGACTGATTTTGGCAATAGAAGAATAGAATAGCATAGAAATCAAGCAAATAAATCAAATAACCTCAACCATCTGCAATTTCGTGAAGGTATTTACTCAAAATTATTAAAATTATTGGGGGTTATTCCTGACAACTAGCCTCACAAAAAAGGTTTTAAATGATTTTCAATTCGAAAAAAATAAATAAAAATAATTTCCTTGTGAAGAAATATTGAAGACCTTAATCGCTGATCTCCAACTCCGAACCCAGAATTCCCACCTATTGTTTGGGAAACCAGCAGTGAGGGAATGAAGAGCAGATGGGATTCTGCAAGTGGCGTTTTGATACATGAAGTGTGGGCATCCAGGAGGGAAGGGGTAGCGGAGCTCATTGTTTCCCTGACACAGGCCTACAACCTCCTCCCCAAGCAGCGGGCCTGCAGTCTCTGAGGCAGAGCCCCCTGACCCAGCCCCATCTGCTGGTCCCCAGGCCGGATACTTTCAGCATTGTTGCAGCATATTCAATGCCAAGATGTGCTTCAGTTTCAGCATCTCCAATAGTGTTTGCTTTTGCGCTGCTTGGCATCTCTGGGTGGAGTCAGAGACAATACACAGAATACTAACATCTCCATCCAAGCTTAAACTTACCACCATTGCACTGGTGAACACTTGGAGGAGTTTCTTTTACTGCAGCCCAGCTTTGCAAAGTTCTGCACAAGTAACTGAATACTAAAGGCATTATTTTCATAAAGATTTGTCAGAAGGTTCAATAAACAGTCATGTGAATTTTCTGGCAATTATTTCATAGTTCAGGCTTTACAGGGTTAAACAACCTGCTAATTGACTATGTATCGTCGTTCGGAGCGGATTTAAAGTAAGCTACTAATAACTGAAAATCTCTGCTGTATGCTATTTGTGAGAAAGGACTGCGTGTGGAAACATGTCAGAAGTGAGTCTGATTAACCAAGAAACAGATCTAGAAGATCAGAGTAACCACACCGTTCAATTATTCACGGACATAAATGACCTGATAATAAAAACTGTGACAAGTCTCATGTCCCTTTCCTTTTCAGCATGTGCCAAAAACACAGGATGTACATTTTTAAAACCTCCTATTCTTAAACCTCTGCATAGCCGCCAGCACATAAATCGTTTGATGAAGTCTGACGTTACACAAACGCTGTGGTTAGGTGTTAATTACTCAAGGCTTATCAAACACTAATTATCCTCACAATGTTATTTACAGACAGTACTAATTTGTTATGCAACTAATAGGACCTTGTGAATCTTGTGTTGGAACGCTTATATTACACTACAGGATCTGCCCTGCATGCCGCCAAGCTGATTAGCTAAGAATAACGCCTGAATGCCGGCCCGTGGCTGCAGGGAATCACGCAAGGACAGGAAGCGATAAGGATGGCACTCGAGATGAAAAACCGATCGGTCTCAGCCTTTTACCTCACGTTTCCTGGGAACAGCTGAGTCATAGTTGTCCTCCAAATCCTCCTCGTCGGCTGGTTTTACGTGTGTGGTTTCAGTCAAGTCTGAAATAGGCTCTATTAACTCTGGTGTGGAACGGCGGCCATAACGTTTACCGCCCTTCACAAACTTTGGTTTGATCTCAGGAGACTCTGAGGAAAAATAACAAGAAAGTGTCAAATAATACGCATAGAGTATTTATTCGCAGTTTAGCACAACAAAAACAGGAAAAAAATGTGATGACTAGCATTTAGCTGAGCCTCCAGTATGTACTTCTCCAAATAACTTCTCTAAATCTTGTAACTTTAGGATCTTTTCAAAGCCACATCTGTTTCAGTAAAACAGCCATGAACTAAATGTCAACCTTTAGAGAAATTAACAGGAACCACATAGGTTCAATATACATCATGCTTCACTGACAGGCATAAATATTGACAATGTAGTATTTGCTTTGATGAGGTCCATTCTTTGTGTTGTCATATAACAAGGATCTTACACAATGTAATGATGACAGATCTGTAAAGAAACTGAACTTACATCCAACCTCATCTGTCATCATCTACACAATAAGTAGCATGGTAATAACATAACATGTCATTTCAAAGACTTGCTTTGGGTCCTGTGGCTGTGCATAGGGGCTTTTCCACTTGTGCACAACCATTAAGACTTTACCTGGTTTTGGCAGGACTTCCTGTTCTTCCTGTGTTGGCTCGATGGATGAAGACAAAACCAGAATAAGAGCATCCTTGAACTGTTCAAAGTCAACCTGCAAATGAATTAAAGAAATAAGTCTTACAGAAAGTTCATGAAATTCCTTACAATGGGTGCTATTCTCTGTGGGTGAGGTGGAGTCTGGGTGTCTGTGTGGAGGAGGGTTTGAACAGGGGCAGCAAGGTCACATTTTAAGAATCAACAGCTGCCAACCCTGAATATGGTGATTTTCTTTGTGCTGCGGAGGCTGACGGCTCCCGGGTTTAGATGGTGTTGGAGGGGAGGGGGATACTTGGGGCTTTTTGACTTGATTGTTGGATGCCGTGAGCAATCATTTAGGCGGCCCCTCTGCTAACATTTAGCCCGTCCACTAACACCCACACCTGCCAGACAATAGCCACCCGTCTGTCTACACGCTTACATACAAACATACATCCATGCCAGCATGTGGAGTTAAGCTGTTTGGATACGTCTCATCTTTATTTATGGGTTGAACTATCAGAACCACTGTCCTTAATTTTTTTTTAATACATTTCCAAACGGCCCCTCTCTCAAATAAAAGTGTGTGTGATCAGCACATAGTTTGTCTTGACACCTGGGTTGGAGCTGACCAGGGGTTGGTATCTTAAGCAAACAATGAAATGGCAAATAAATATGAAATATCCTGGCGTGCACAAGAAAAAGGGGCACAACTAATACCTGTTCTACCTCATGGCTGTAGCTCAGGAGGTGGAACCAAATATCACAATGTGTGTAAATGGTAGATAGAAAGCACTTACGTTTTACTAATCTCGTAAATCCATATTTTAGTCACAACAGAACATACTGAAATATTATTACTATTTAATGACAAATACTGGCTTTTAAATTTCAAAATCAGCTACATGTCTCTGAAAAAAAAGTTGCCAAAGGCTGACAAAGGAAGCGTTATGAAAAATAAATAGCTGGAGAAACTAATTAGGTTATTTGGTAACAGGTCACATAACATAACATATAAAAACAAGACCATCTTAGAGGGAGAAGCAGAGTTTCTCAGAAGTAAAGCTGGGCAGAGGTTTACCAATACACAAAAAAAACTGCATCTACAAAATTGTTATAATATTGTTCCCAAATCCAAAATTGGAAAAACTTTGAATATCTCATAATCTACAGCATGTAGTATCATCAAAAAACTCAAAAGACTCAGAGAATATGAAAAATAACTGTGTGCACATGGAACAGGCCAAAAATCATTACACAGCATGAAATTGGGATTGTAGCATATATTCAACACTAGTAATAGAAATGAATATTGCTGCATAAATAACAGCTTTTTTAAAAAGGGGGTGCGTGTCTCATTTCCAACCAGGTAATGTATAATTTCAGACTTCACATTAGCAGTATGACGATTGTTTATGATGAAACGGCTGCTTAGCAGCAGTGGAATAAACTCACCCTGGCAGTGAGGCGGTCCTGGCTCTGGAGCAGAGTCTGGAGAAGAGCTGGAGCGGTATCATTAAGGTGCAGCGACTGACAGAGGTCGGAGAGCTCCTCTGGGCACAGAGAGCCACAGCCGCTAGTGTCAAAGCTGTTAAAAACTTCTTTCAGCTGCTCCTCGTACTGGTCCTGCTCTTGCCCGTCATCCATCCCACAGGACAGCACCCTGCCCTAAAGAAAGAGTGAAAGAGATGTCATACTTTCCATTACAACTATTGGGCCTCTCGAGGATGATATGCCAGACAATAGCAGACAAGATGAAGGCAAGACATTAAAGTACCTTGACAGGGTTTACATATTCAGTCACAGTGCTAACAGATACTCACAAACAGGATGGCTTCATCAATCTCAGCAGCATCTGTTCTTACCAACAACTTCATCTGAGAGCACTGCCCTGCAACTGAGCTTTCAACGCACTGCTCCAGCCTCATTTGCAGTGGAGGCTTTAGGTAATCCAATTACAATGATTAGAAAAACGGATAAACTGATAGACACAAAGATATCCAACAACAACCATGACTTTCTTGTAATTCATTAAATAAATAAAAATGAATCTTAATTTATTTCACTTTGATCACCAAATAATTTGTTTTTTAAATATCTGTAAGTATTTAGATTATATGCTATTGAAACAGCTAATCAAGAAAACAATGAATACACAGTGGCACCAAGCCAAGTGGACAGAGCAGCCAGGGACTAATTGAGAAAGTTAGACCAGAGCAGTGTGCCAGCATTTCCAGACTGGCAGATTCAGTTACACATGGACCACGTTTTTGTGTCAATTGGGTTGCATCATTTCTCTAATTGAAAAACAACAGAAGCAAATGGACAGAGAGCAGCGCCTCAAAACACAAGTCTGGAGTTCAAGTCAGCTGTAAGCCACGTTTCCCTGAAGTAATGATAGCAATGCAGACAATCAACCTTGGTGAATTATCTACAAGGCTAATATTTTAATGTGGGATTGAAGTAAGAGAAGAAGCTGACATTGGTCCAAAGCAAAAAGACAGAGTCTTACTAACTTAAGCAATGACATAACTTCCAGACACAACAGCTGAGATCAGCCACATGAAGCTTACCAAAGGTGATGCTTAAATTGGGCTGAGCAGAGTTAGAATACATGTTTCTATTTTTATTTACATAAACTCTAATAAGATTTGTCTGTTTGTTACATTTTTTTTTAATTTGTACTGTCCACTTTTTTCTTGAATTTCAAAAATATGATATTTTTCCACCCTCCTTAGGTGTCTTTATATATTTTATATATTTTGATCACCTAACTTCAGTTTGTCCTAACATAATATATATATTTGTGCATAAGACAAATTCAACATAAAGAACATACCAGTATGTCTAATGAGTTGAAACTCCCCACTCAGGGCTCATCTATACAATAGATATGCTGCCTGACCCTTTGCTCTTCCAGCTGCTCTCAGTGAAATCATCAAGTGCTCGGCCAGGTGTCCCCCCACACTCCAGACCCGGGGTGCCCATTCACTGCACACAATAGGCTGTCCACAAAGGCCAAGTCACTATTCTACATCTGCACATTTGAGCAGCTTATGGCACGCAGGAAAATAATGGTTCAGCAGTATGGCAGCTTACAGAAAACTAATGTTTGGTAAACTTGCAGAGCAACAGGGCGACAAACAGAAAGCAAAAGCAAGCATTGGGCAACTGCTTAGGACCGCTGTATATTACATGCGTGACTCCTGAACAGATTACTAAACAAAAATCTCTTTGCACATCTTGCTGGCATTGTTGAACTTATTCAGGTTTCTGCAAACAAACTTCTGAGCCAATTATCCAAGCAGCCCTTTACCTCAAGCTTGGCCACAGAGGCTCAAGGTGGCTGTGGGTTGACAGCTGCTGTAGCTTAGGAGTAAAACCAGTTCATATTAGGAGGGGGGAAAAAATAGGTTAATCCTAGAACCATCCCAGCATTCACTGGTCATAGTGTCAGTAAAAGATTTTAGCCAGTAAAGACAAAACTTAAAAACCTGATGATTGAACTAGAGATGAAGCAACTACATTTTAATCTGTTTTCTCTGAGGACTTGATATTCTCTCTCTATACAAACCTGTCCAAAGAAACTACATAAAGATAATTCCCATGTTCCCATTTTCTGTAGATCTATGTGAGAAAGTTTAGAAAAAGAATAACTTTGAAAGCCTGCAAACAACCCATCTCAGTCACATTTAAACAACTCTGGGTGAAATGTGAGGGCAATTGTTGGTGATACAAACTGCAAAACTGCATTTTATTTCCATTAGCGCGCTTACTTAACGCCATTTAAATCAAAATGGAAAAAGTTAGCAGTCAGCTGCTGCTCGTGTATGTTTTGCTTCACTGACTTTTTCCCTGTCTTCATCTAAGTAAAGATTTAAAGTCACTTGTGAGAATAAAATAACTGTAATGCAGTTTAGCTAGCTTCACTAGTCATAAGGAAAGTGATGGGCTATGCTAACCGCGCTAGTTCATTTGGGAACGTGAGGGAACACTTTTTTAGGATGAAAGAAGCTAAGTACCCAGAGCTGGAGAAGAGAAAGAAAGAAACAAAGAAATGTCTGAGAAAAAATAAACTCACCAAAGTGTCGAAACTTTGCGGACAGCTGACTCCTTCCTCGAGTCAAATTTGCTGATTAAACACACCTCTAAAAAACTTTAAACTACAACATTTCTCCCGCTACAGCGCAGGTAAACCTTCCGCTCCGGCAAGTTTGACGAGCAGCTAATTTGTCGATAGCAGCATTTTGTTCCCTAACATTACCGAGAAAGTAGCTGTCAGGGTTTTGCTGCTGGCTGCTTTGTGTCCGCGGCTGTATCATCCTCCTCCGGCTTGTAGCGGGTTTTGAAAAGCGGTTGTAAGAGGAAGGGGCGGTGACCGACCAAGAAGCTGCAACGCAGTCCTGCCAGCCCCCAGTGGACCAAACTAAAACAGCTCCGAAATCACTACAGTCTTTTAAACTGATAGCTGTGTCTTGTTGTGAATAATGTGTGTTGCAATGCTATCTTTTAGGCAATATTCAAGCACAGAAGGGGGGCTTTTCAAAACTGGATGCAACCATCTTTGGATCAAACAACCTCTATTAGATTAAAGTTGCACAAGACATTATACTGGCTTTGTTGAATCTGCACACCCAACAATACAAATCTAAATGGCCTGCACTACACTGGCGCCACCACCACCAGTAGGCAAACATGGGGTTAGTATCTTGCCCAAGGATATTTGGCATGCAGCCAGGAGGCAGCCTGGGATCGAACCACCGACCTTCTGATTAGTGGCTGACCTGCTCTGCCACCTGAGCTACAGCCACCCCAAATATTATCTGCCCTTTACTTAAAATACCTCAGAGTGTTTGGCCTATATTTGTTTATATTTAGCTTCCAAGGAGTGAGACTTTGCTCTCTGAAGGGATTTGTGTTTCTTCCTTCATTGGCTACTTTTTCACTTATTTTTGTCCAGTCCTTGTACCTGAACATTTTCAGATGAGTGTATTTTGTTTTTTATTATGCCTCTTAACACTTACCTATGAATTATTCAAACACACAAAGGGCATCTAGCTCAAGAAATGAACCAGTTGTACTTCTAGCAGCAACTCCAAAAACTCATCATTTGTTTTTCACAATTCCTTTGGTTTAATCTATGAAAAATGCTAATGATTACACTGTTTGATAGGAATAAAATATTTATGCACCAGTAAGGTCAATTACAAACTTGAAAACTTGCCATATCTCATCGTGCTGCATGTTGCGTGCTGTACTGTGTGACTTTAAAGGTTTTGTGGAAACTGGACAAGTGGAGGACAAAAAATGGGCAGACCTTAAAAAAAAACTATCTGCAACAAATCACCGTATTTTATTCCTGTGTGTAAGAAACAGGAATCAATCTGGCAAAGACCTAAAACAGGACCTGAGAGATGCAGCCAGACTTCAGTTGATCCATCTACTGTACTGTACAATGATCCCAAACACACTTTCAATGGAGTAAAAACTTACCTATAAATAAAAATATACAATGGAAGACTATCAGTCATGGAATGGCCTCCCTGGAGCCTGCATCTCAATATTACTGAAGCAGTGTGGGATCATCTTGACAGAGATTAGAACAAAACCCAAACAACTTCCAAAGAAAAACAAATGAATGTCCTTCAAGAGGCCTGGAGAACTATTCCTGAAGACTCTTTAAAGAACTTAGAAAGGCTGTTGCAGAATAAAGGTGCTCATACCAAATATTGACTCTTAAGCTTGTTAGAATTGTACACACTGTGTTTTTGCTTTATATACTCTGGTTTCATGGATGTTTGCAAATAAGTCACTACTGCTTAGCAAAATAAAAAGAAATGAGGGGTCTCTCAATACATTTGCACAGTACTGCATAAGCCATAAGCTACAAGCCAAAGAGCAGTTTCAAAAACCAGAACACGAATCATTCCTGAATATAAGTGTGTCAGTGAAATGCTGTAGTCCACATCCACAGGATAAATGTGAACAGTTTCACTACAACTGCTCTGTACTGATTTCTACTGTTTATAGCATCGGTTCATGGATGACCAGGAGTGAAACTAAGTTTATTGGAAAAACAAGAAAACAGTAGTTTTCTGATACTTTCTTGGCTTTTAATTTATTTGCTAGCAATTTAAAAATGTGTGGGACACTGAATATCAGCTCAACCAGCACTGACCAGACAAACGCTTCCCCTCCTAGAAAAATCAGTTAAACCCCAGGGGATCTAATAATTGCATTAACTGTCTTATCTTCCTGCTTTCTTAGATACAGATTGTTAGTTGTTAGTATGAAGGGATGAATGATTACCTATCACAATGCTCTTACATTCAGTTTTGAGGGTTTTTCTAGTTCTTAACATATAAAGCCAATCAATGTCCAGTATTTCAACTCATAGAAACCCTGAAAGCATCAGCATCAGTTGCTAAACTCCTGAAAACAAAATTATTTTCATAGTTATATCTACTTTTACCCTCAGCTTTCTTTCAGTCCAGGTGGAGGAGTGGATTTATTGCATTATCTAATACAATATTGCCTTTATCTTGGTTTAAAATAATTTTAAATATTCAACTAACTGTGGAATAAAGATGCATATACTTAAATGGTGTAGTTAACGAAACAAATGTGAAATTGTTTTAAATTTATAGTAGTTTTAATATGCTTAATGTTTACACTAAAAGAAAACATCATCCCTTAAACACCTGTTGCATGAATTCTTTTACATTTTTAATTCATGAAATTATTTTTGAGCAATAAAAATTTTTAATAAAATAAAATAATCTTAGTGTTGACATTGAAAAGAAACATAATTTAAACATCTGCCATTTGCATTTTTAAATTTGCCTTTAATTTTTCTTCTGTTTTAAGAATTTTAATGATATATAGTTGTGTTAATATGTTTACACTGAAAGGAAACGTAATAACTTATGCGTCTAACGTGTAGATTTCAAAGAACTTATAATACCCACAATTCCTTGCGGCCACTTATCAGCCGGGTTTGTTCCTGTTTTGTTGATTACATCGGCGGTAAGGGAGTTTGTGTCCCTAAATATTCTTTATGCATGTTTTCTTCTTCTGATGTCCACAGGCAGGGAGTTTTTGCCTTCTTTGGAGAGCACTGCACTTTGATCGACTTTATTTCTACATGACTGACTTACTGCATGAAATATTAACCAATAGCAGAGCGGCAGAGGAGATGATTAGTCTGAGAAGAACGTTGACCTCTTTTCACTTTATTTCACAACACTCTTGCTGTCAGGACAAGATCCCTACCGGATTCAGTTCACTGGAAAGAGGGAAATTCGCATACCCTGATCTGGACAGCGGGCCAGATTGTGTTGCTGTGGAGTGGAAATAATTTCACCCGTGGCAGAAATGAAGAGAGCTATTTCATTTCTGATAACTGTCTATGTCTCGGTGCCTGTCATTTTATACCTGTTCCCTTGGATACTGGGCCAAGTCATATTTGCTCACTTGTGTAAGTAATGTGTCTCGAGGCCTGGGTGTTTATTCAGAGTCAAGTTATTACATGTCGGATAGAGCAGATCTATCATTTAAATGACGTAATATATTTAAGTCACGTACTACTAAGGAGACCAAATCGCCATACGAAGTGTTGTGTACTGTTTATGACAAATGTTCTCATGGGAAATACTAATGCTGAAACAAACACTGTTAACAAGTTAACAACCTGTTGATCAAGATTATGTCACCGAACATCATTGTCATTATCCTGTTAAGTTCATTATATTAATATTTAGAAGGCATGATCAGTAGAAGATTTACCCATTTCATTTAATATGTTACTCTGCTGTCAAAAAGAATTCAATCAAGGAGTCCTCTGAGATTGGTGTGATACTTAAGGTGTTTTAAATATCAGAGTAAACACTTGAGATTTATTAGGAGTCTGGGTTCCTAGAACAACACAAAATGAGTTAATTGTTATACAACAAAATCACAATAATAGTATTTTGATATAATGATCATTTGTCTCACACTGGAAAAAACGTACCAAATGCTAGTGGCAATTGACTGCAACCACCACAATAACAAAAGTTTTTAATTGTCTTTAAGATGCTATTAAAATTGGATTCAAACAACTTCTATTTGAAGGGATTTACGTAGCTTGATAACAAAAGTTTGTTTGTCTTTACAATAATAATTAGTATTACAGGACAGCCTGGCCAATGACATGCCATCTTTCTGTAATTTTACACATTTATTTCTTACAATTTAAGCCCAAAGAGTCTGATTTCTTTCATTTATCAGAGCACAATTTTTTCTGTTATGCCGAAAAACTGAGGTGTGCTTTTTAAATTGCACTCTTCCCCCCCCCTAATACCAGCGATTAAGTGTGTAGTTAAACTTTGTTTGACATCGTTGAGGTAGAAGAAGCTAGAAATGGGAAGAAGAGAGAGGGATGATGGAGAGAAAGCATAATAAGAGAAATCTATCAATCTATAAATTCTGTGGAACTGACAAAGCAACAGCACTGAGTTTTTACTATTATAACAGCCTGGTTCATAGTAGAAGAGTACAGGTGCTAGACAAATAAGACTGCTGTGCAGCTAAAATCCCATATCAGACAAGGACAGGGCAACTTTCCTCTCCCAAAAATCCAGCAACTGGTCTCCTTGGTTCCCAGATGTTCACTGTACTGTACAATTTGATATTTTACAGTTTAATGTAGTTTGATATCTCATGGCATACAGTACACTGCAGCATAATCTGATATAATCTAATAATTCACAACACGACATACAAAAACATGCTGACCTTGTGTGCTTTTGTTTCCTGTAGTGAGGTTTCCATTCTTTGTGGATCTCAGCAGACCTGAAGATGTCCTAAACCACACATGCAATTTCTACCTCAACACAGAGGAGGGCATCTCAGTCGGAGTGTGGTAGGTCATTTTTGGGATCCTGTTGTGTCCATTTATGTGAATCACTCGAAAATACCACGTGCATATTGAGTACAGTTGGCTCCAGACTGAATATAGCAACGGTGTAATCATTTAGCTGGACAAGAACCACTCAAAAGCTGCCTGCGTATCTTGAAATGTAAGTGGATTTGTT